GTTGAGGGTATAATAATTTTTAATTAGTTATATATATTTATTATTTTTAATATCCTGTAATATTTTTATGTTATGTACACGTCGCATATATAATTATTTTCTATGTTTAAACATGAAATAATGATTAGTGAAATATTTTAATATTAGGATTTTTGTCTTATTTTTAAGTCAAGAATAATGTTATTAAAATTTCGAATTGTGGGATACTCAACATATATACAGTGTTTAGATATTGTTTTACATTTGTACATACTTGAGGCATTTCATATAAACGACCCCAGGAATTTTGTTTTCTCGTTTCTTTAAGGTCAGTGAGTATGTCATAACGGACATCTGCAGGTAATGCTTTAAATTCGTTACTGGTTACGTCAACATTATGTATGTTTCCCATCCATTTGGATTGTTTCCGTGGACTTAGTTCGACAGGGGAATCGGAATCGTCTTGATCGTCATCAACGTAACTCTGCAAGTTGCTAACGCTAGGCATATCAGGTAGAACAAACATATCTTCGTTGGTTTGCGTATTTATCGTTATTTGTATCGCTTTACTAGTTTGATCCTTGGAATCTTTATTAAGAACAGTTTTTACAACTCTGTGCTTTATCAAGTTGTTTATCAAATCCGCCTTCATTTTCTGCGCCTTACTCATGGCAATAGATTTCTGCTTCCTGCGCGAGGCCTGCAAACACAAAAGAATGAGAAGGCTCTTTTCTCACTACCTGGTTCCCACGGTGAGCTAATTAAGTACGAACAATATTATAATCAAGATAGAAGAACAGTTTAGTTTGTACGTAAATGCATAGTGCAAAAGTTTAAAATTTCATATAATGAATCATATCTTCTTTTCATTAAATACATGAGTTAGAGATGATTAATTATTTGTTAATTTGTAATCAGTTGAAAAGAGAGGATATAATCTATCGCGTATTTACAATTGTATTTTTCTTGAGCATAGGTACTCCTCCATCGAAGACAAAAACGGGCTTAATTTTGTAATACAGAAGTTTGCATATCCTAGTGAATAATCCAAGCAAATGGGCATTGGGTCTAGAAACGCCATGACGATCTTGATATCCTTGCAACACTTGGTATATCCATATCGATATATCTGTAAGAGATACATCATAAAGTTTGCCTCATTTTATATTATAATATAATCAAAATAAAATTAAATATAATTAAAATTATACTTAAGCTTTCGTAATCAGACTTATTACATATATATATATATATCTCGATACTCACCGATTGCCAAGACTTTGCCCTCGAGGCTTTCTAAGGGTACCGACTTTCCGGATGCTTCGAGCAACTTCCACAAGCCGTATACTCCCATTATGTCATAGATTGTGACGATAGGGAAACATACGCATGTGTGTCACACTAAAAGACATGCGAACGTTTTCCTGATACATTTTTCTTCCATTGTCTACATAAATGTCAACTGTTATCATCTTCAATTATTAACCTGAAAATACGCGTTTAATATTAATTCATTAAGCTGATTCTACAATGAGTCGGTAGCCGGTAGTCCCGCCGGTAAGTCTTAAGTCGGTGAATCGGTGAAGTTGGCCAACAGCCAATTCGTACGACTAAAACTACCGATTTTCTTAAGACTGAAGACCAAATTCGACTTTATTCCTTCCCATTAGTCGAATTAAAAACGACTCGTTGTACAATTAACAACTAGTAGATGCGAAAAAACAGTCATTTAGGTTAAAACTGGTTAAGACTTAAGATTTCCGACTATCAACTCATTGTAGAATCAGTTTTACTCATATCAAACTCATACGTAGACACTTACATGATTAATATCATCCACAAGTGTATAGAAATCCACACATGCATGAAAGCACGCGTTTAATATTTTAGTGTCCAGTGGAGTCGACTTAGGTCGAACGGTTCATGTAGTTCACACTGTTTCCAACTGTTTCGCAGTCAGCTGCAATCAGCTGACGAAGGAAGCAAACGACAAACAGCAAACGATCATTACGGCACTAAGTCAGCTGCACTTGACTCAGCTCGACTGATCTCGCCGCGGTGTTTGCGCCTATTTTGTTTTTTTCTTTTTGCAGACGCTGGAGACGCGAATTAATTTACATAAAAAAAATATCTCTCTGTTAACGACCGTAATGGCGAAAAAATGCAAGCGTTCTCGAGTTTATGTACATACAGTGGGTTTTTGGGAACTCAACCCAGTTAGTTAATCCATTGAGTTGTCTGTTTTCTATTCCTGCACTAGACTGTTCTAGAACTCTCTTTCTCGCTTTAAAGTTCAGCCACAGAAAACAGACAACTCATGTTTGGATATCCGAAAGTATCGTTACCTTTAAGCCTGTTCTACAATGCTTTTTGTTTCCTGTTTCTTTTTACTTCTTATCTGGTTTTTCCGTTTTATATATCGCCCGAGATAAAACGAAAAGTTAACGAACTTCGAAAGAAACAAGAAATACGTAACAAAAAATACGATCGTTGATAAAATGGTTGCAAAGGAGAAAAAAAGGTAAGAAAAAAAGGTAAGAAAAGGTAAGAAAAGGTAAGAAAACAAAGAGCACATAGTAGAATAAGCGCTTTGATCTCGTCCAATCAGAAATTAAAGTAAAGCCTGTGACGTCATCGATCCAACCCGGGTTAGGTTAAAACTTCGAACGTGACGTATCAAACGTATGTATAATCTATAATCTATATTAGACGATGCATTCGAGCGTTTTGAAGTCAGCTTATTCAAGTTAATTATGCGTCGTTGTTTCGCATCTTACTTATTCCTTAGAGGCAACGATAATAATTAGAATCGCGCGATAATTACGATAGTAGATCGTATCGAGATCACGCTCGCGGTATAATTTCATGCTGGTATCTTCGCGCCTCCATAGAAAGAAGGAGCGTGGGAATCGGGTTTTGTAAAAACTTAGTTCGCGGCGCGGATGGCGCGTCGTCATATCACACGTATGAGACGATATAAGATGACGTTATTACGATAAGAAGTTACGTTCGTCGAAACAAGCCAAAAGGAGCAAAAATAGAAAAAAGAATGGACACGTCGCGCCCATACATAGCACGTTGCACAAGTCGATAATTAGGGAGCGCCATTTAGCATGATTTAGCGATTTTATTTCTTACACATCTACCTAAGTACTACTTTATGTCGCAGCGTTTAACGCACAGATATATATATTTAATTTCTTTATAACTGGGTGAAAACTTTTCTTTGTTTATTATTACAGTTGAATATTATCAATACATATACTTGCCCAGCAAACGAGAATGGATTAGAATGGATTGAAATTTTTTTCTACCCGAATGCGTATTTTAAATAGCGAATACGTTTTTTGGATTCAATTGGATGCAATTGAATTACACAGAAAAAGCTAATATTATTTTTAGATTGAAAGGCTGATAGAGATGTGCTCCATGCAATTCCTATAAATGAATAAAAATGCATTCAGGATTCAAAAGCATTCATTTTAACATTCGTGAATCAATATTTCTAAAAATCTCAATCCATTTCAATCCATTCTCGTTTGTTAGTTGCGTTATTTCGTAATTGTTTACGTGTGACCTGCATCAACACACACACACACACACACACACACACATATATATGTGTGTATATGTATATATATATATATATATATATATATATATATAGAGAGAGAGAGAGAGAGAGAGAGAGAGACTTTTTGTTTCTCGATGACTTTAAATTATCTTCCCCTTCATTTTGCAATTCAGCGGACTGCTATAACAATCAGCCGATCAGGCAGAGAGGAAGAGTCGTTGCGAGACACGCAACGATACAAATTAAATAGAAAGCAGCTGAAATGACATCAGGCGAATTTATTCGAATGGGAAAGTCATACTTATCGCGAGTTGGAAAAATGTTGAAAATTATATCAGCAAATCAGCCATCAAGTAAGTGTAAAGAGCCACACGAGAACGATAGGAAATTACACGCAAAATAGAGTAACAATAATTAATCGCACGTAAAATGAAAGATTGTGCTAGAAAAATTCTTGACCACGCTAAGATAAATATAAATGTCTCGGAAAATAAAGTTAAAAAATTAATTATATAATATTATAATTGTCGATTTTATAAATCGACAATTTTTCGAGTTTTCATGTGAAAACGCGAATCTGTTGTCTAAAAAACGATCGCGTCTCCATTTCAGTTTAATAAAATTGAGATCAAATTTTGTTTATCTACCCCTTCCCCTCTCATAAATCTGCAATTTAAATTTAAAGCCGAAAGTAATAAACTCTTTTCAGTAAAAATTTATAAAGATTTATAAAATGCCGTACACGGAAAAAAAAACACAGTTGAAAAACTTTACTGATTTAGCAAATCTATAGTCGTAATATATAGACAGTCAATTTTTTTATATTAAAGTAGCAAAGTTGATAACCGAATAACATTAGTGATTTGTTAAATCATCAAATCTTCTTAGTTATGTTGAATTCGTGCAATAAGTACAGATTTGCTGTATCATCCAATTAATTTTTTTTCTATGCAGAGACGCCTGACAATTGTGCGTAACATTCATCTTTAGCAATAGTTATCGAATAAAAATCGACCGAAATCTCGAAGAAAACTTTTCAAAATCTCTTTTTCTATTATATATGTACTTTTTTTTCATTTAGGTCCGTTTTCCGTGACTGAATTATAATGTACACTTTTGGAACTTAAACAGATAGTAAAATAAAGTGCAACTGTCTAGTGATGGGAATAAAAAACAGACCTCTAATGTGTCTATATCTATTTTTTTCTCATTATACGCACATATTGCACGTCTCCTGTAGTATTATTACAGTGTTACACATACACATATACAAATGTAATACAGGCACGCGTGAATGCCTCATATAGACGCGATATATATGATGATGATAAGGTATGTGAATGATAATCAAGTTTATCAGCGCAGGGATGTAACAATATTCCTGAGTACCGACGCTCTCGGATAGAGCTTTGAAGGCATGTAACGTTGATTCTATGTGGCCAGGATAACCCCAACATCCTTTTGCGGCAGCAATTCCGTGGGGGCGCCGTTACGTGGGGGAGGGGTGGGGGGAGGAGAGGGGAATGGATGGAAACGACGGGAGAGAAGCGGCGCGCTTCTCAGGTGGAGGGAGACAGGCAGGGAGCTGGAGGCGCTCGGGTCGACCGGGCCATTGTACAAACAATAGAATCTACAGCATCAGTGACGTATCTGCGTGGCTGCCGTGTGTGTGTCGTAGACGATTTGAAAAAAGAGTGTCATTCCGATTAATGAGAGAGAGAAAGAGAGAGAGACATTATGAAATCGAGGAACTATGCTGTAGAGAGCGATGTCGGGATATACAGGGCTCGTGCAATTAAACTATGAATTTCGGTCACATCTGATTTCATTCACGTCTGCTCGATGTAATAATACTCGCCGATATAATATTTGATACGATTCGTCGCGCGCGACGAATACAGTGAGGTGAGGTCCCTCTCGAAATTTCAAACGCCAGCGACGTTCGCGCGCAAATTTCGTACACCGGAGTGAACGTTGCCGCGTATCGCCCGACAGCTCCGACTACTCGGTCGCCTGCACGCCACTGCATCGCGGTGCGTTTGTTTTCAATTTGCCGAGAGCACCAAGTTCCCCCTCTCCTTCGCTCGCCACGTTCGTGGTGCAGCCACGCTTACAGTGCTCGCTGTTGGCCTCCGAACGCTTCCAAGTTAGTTATCCGTCTGCAGTCGCGGATTGAGGGTGATCTCCGTGGAACACGTCGCGTTAGCCGCATGAATTTCATTCGCCCCTCGTACATTACTTTGCACTATTATAAAAGGAGAAGACACGCCGTTTCCCCCGATTCGAATATAATTCAAGTTACGCGCGCATCGCGCCACAGACGCTGCCGTCGTGTTGCGTTCAACCGCGGTTGGTAGGACTGTTCGGAAAATTCGGAAAGTGAACAGGTGTTTTTTGAATGGATTAGGGCGGGAGGGGGAGAGGGAGGGAGGGTGGGAGGGAGAGAACGCGGAAGAAAGGAAGGAAGGAAGGATTCGCCGCGGCCGCGCCGTGGTGAACAATCACCAATCGCCGCAAATCACCGGGACTTGGCAGCCCGAGTCGCTCCGGATGATCGATTGCACGCCGAGGATGCACGCGGCTACGCGGCTGTTCTCGACGCCCCGCCAAGAATGAAGAGGTGAGTCGAGCCGGGCCAAAATCGTAACCGTAACCTCGCTTGCGTCGAAAGGTAAATAAACAAAATGCCTGGCTTCCTCGCACATGTCACAGCTCGATCGCGTTCTCTCGATCTTGGCCATCAATCTTGCTTTCATAACCCTGCAGCCACTACGTCTCCTGACGATCCTGCAATCCTGACAATCCTGAGGATCCTGACAATCCTGAGGATCCTGACAATCCTGACAATCCTGACATCATCGAGCCGAGGAAACGGTTACGTTGCCTTGTGTCTTTTCTGGCGACTGGAATGTTCGGAATGTCCAAGAGACGCCACTTCTTATTTTCCCTTTCCTAAAAAGTGCTTTTTGCTTTACACTTTTTTTCATCTTTGCTCCATTTTCATAATCTAGATTCTTCCACTTTGCACGCAGCCTGCATGAGTACAAAATAGAACACGGTGTCACATTTTTCGTTGCATTTCGTGTGCATTTATATATATATATATATATAAATGCACGTCATAACGTGAGGGATTACATGAGGTGAGTCAAAGTACATTTTATTATACTCTACTATTTATATCGTGCAATGTAACGATGGATTCAATTTTTCTTGCTGAATAATACATTTGCATTTCTATTCTTTTAGTGTTTGATCAGACACGATTGTAGACTCTCTTCTTGAATTACGTAAAATCAATAGGTAAATTCTATGATTTTCATTACGATTACCTTTATTATGGTACTCGACAGATACTTTTCTCTTTCGCACTCTGGCATGATCATAGCTCGCGTCCAATTTGCAATGCTAATTTATCAACTTTTGCTACTTTATTATGTCCTACTCTATTCTGTCCTTGTTCAATATTGTATATTGTGCACACTACAGATCATGACATTAGCAGGATATTGATAAGTGGATATAGCAACCAGAGCGGATTAGAACAGTTATTATATAATTTGGTGAGAAACTATATATATGTACACGATATCATATGAACCAACAATATCACTGTGTCGTACTATTACATTCTGATCCATATTCTCAATGAGAAATTATTTCCATTGGTCAAAGCCAAAAATGATTATTAGCTCCTGTAGATTAGAGTTGCGTTACTGTGGAGTATAATCTGATGTCAAGCAAGTCCATATGACTGAATTCATCTAGAAGGAGACATAAACGATTGTAATAGTTTAATGTAAATTAAACTATTAATTATTTTAATTAATTTTGATTCAACTCACTCTTTATTCTAACTATTCCAATTCGTAGAATTCTTCTATACGAATTAGAAAGGATTGAAGAGTCAATTGAATCGAGATTAAAGTTAATCTACGTTGATGGAAACAGACACACAAGTATTTCTCAAAGAGCAGTATATATAAACATGATGATTCAAATAAGAAACTTGTAAGAAGCATGAATGTATGTATACAGAGAGCATTTTTATGAAAAGTTAATTGCTAAAGAAGACAGAAAAGAAGGGGCTTAAAAAAGAAGTAGTATAATAATCCATAAGATAGGTGATTAATAAAATTGTAAAATTTGTTTCGTAGCGTCAGTTGATTTCGTGTAATTAATGTAACTTTTGTATAACGAGGTAAAAATTATGCTATTAATTGTGATGTGTACGTTTTTTTTTTCCCAGTGTACAAACATAAACTCTACCTGTATAGTCACAATGAATAGAAGCGCTTTTAATTCATGCAGGAAAAATGAGTCCGGCTTGGTTCTCACGACGTGCGTGCATGTACGTCTGTATACGTTGTTTCCTCTTTCCTGTGCCAAGACCAGCAATTCTTGATAGCTCGTTTGAAGAAAGATATCTCGAGTTAATTACGTCTTGTCCCCAGTAAAAAGCAAAAATCTTTCTCACGCTAAAGCTTCGAATAGCGGACATTTGTATGCAGTTTGGTATATGCTTAATCGCGCGAATAACTAATGGTGACGCTACTGTACGAATACATTAAAGCACGCATTTAAAGTCACGATATCGTCTACTTGTATACACATAATTTTTACACATCTTTATAATCTTGCGCACCCGCGCACGCCGCACTTATTGTTTTATACACACAGACACACACACACAGACACACACACACAGACACACACACACACACACACACACACACACACACACACCACATACATATGTAAAGAGACATGATTAATCAAGTGTGCTATTCTGTCGACACTATTTTTAATTTAAAGCACTACCGCTCTCTTTATTCAGTCACTGCGATCGCTTCGATTTTCACCGAGTTACATTTCTTACACGATTTCGACTAATTTCGCTTATCTATCAATTACTAATTTTTATTATCTCCAATTCTCTTTATCTACATAGCACGCTACGCGTTATTATTTCACTTGTTCCTGCACGAGATCATGGTAAACTCCAATTGCACAACCAATTGCATTGGCAACTGATTTTTTTATGTACATACATATATAATATATATAATGTTGTATTATAATTATAATTTTGCTTATACATATATCGTTATATATTTTTATATCACTCAGATAATTTAATTCGCCGTAGGTGAAAAAGATCGCTTGGGAAGGCACGCTTGAAAGATGAGGATGATATAAATCGATCGGTCAACGAAGGCAATTTTGTTATTTCATTTCGCACGAGAGTCGAATCCGGACTTTTAAATATGCCACACCAATTTGGACTGCCAACGATGGCACACGGTATGCAATCCCCGCCCTCGCCGACCTCGGTCATGTCCGTTTATCCTCGATTCGGCTCCGGCATCTACAGGGCCGATCACCAGGACCAGCGACTTACCCGGGAGGCGATGGAACGTTATCTACGCGACCGTAGCGACATGGTGATTGTAATCCTACATGCCAAGGTCGCGCAAAAGTCATACGGCAATGAGAAACGTTTCTTCTGCCCGCCACCCTGTATCTATCTGTTCGGTGATGGTTGGAGGATGCGTCAGGAACAAATGTTGCGCGAAGGCGAGAGCGAGCAGAGCGCTCAGCTGTGCGCTTTCATCGGCATTGGTAATTCGGATCAGGACATGCAGCAGCTGGATTTGAACAACGGTAAACAGTACTGCGCGGCAAAGACCCTTTACATCTCTGATTCGGACAAGCGCAAGCACTTTATGCTCTCTGTCAAAATGTTTTACGGCAGTGGCCACGACATCGGCGTGTTTCACAGCAAGCGTATCAAGGTCATCTCGAAGCCGTCGAAGAAGAAACAGTCTTTGAAGAACGCAGACCTGTGCATCGCCAGTGGCACGAAAGTGGCGCTCTTCAATCGGCTGCGATCGCAGACGGTTAGTACGCGCTACCTTCACGTGGAGAACGGCAATTTTCACGCGAGCTCGACGCAATGGGGTGCGTTTACCATCCACCTCTTGGACGATAACGAGAGCGAGTCGGAGGAGTTTCAAGTGCGCGACGGTTACGTCCACTACGGTAGCACCGTCAAATTGGTATGCTCCGTCACAGGAATGGCTCTGCCGCGACTGGTGATTCGCAAGGTAGACAAGCAAATGGCCAGTCTGGAGGCGGACGATCCCGTATCGCAGTTGCACAAGTGTGCCTTTTACATGAAGGACACGGATCATATGTACCTGTGCCTGTCGCAGGAACGTATAATACAATTTCAGGCTACGCCTTGTCCAAAGGAAGCGAACAAGGAGATGATCAACGACGGCGCCTGCTGGACCATCATCAGCACCGACAAGGCAGAATACCAATTCTTCGAGGGTATGGGCCCGGTACGGTCACCGGTGACGCCAGTACCCCTGGTCCACAGCCTGCATCTCAACGGCGGCGGCGACGTCGCGATGCTCGAGCTGACGGGCGACAATTTCACGCCAAACCTGCAAGTCTGGTTTGGCGACGTGGAGGCCGAGACTATGTACAGGTGCCAAGAGAGCGTGCTCTGCGTCGTGCCGGACATCTCGCTCTGCCGTGGCGAGTGGCTCTGGGTACGTCAGCCGACGCAAGTGCCGGTCTCTCTCGTACGCAACGATGGCATCATTTACGCGACTGGTCTAACTTTTACGTATACGCCCGAGCCAGGACCGCGTCCGCACTGTCCGCCCGCCGACGAGATTATGCGGGCGCCACGTGCCATGCACAATCAAGCCAGTATACCACCTGCCGCGATGCCCGCCGACGTGCCCTGGAACACTCATGGACCACCACCGCAATCGGGTCTCTGATGTCTCCTAGACAATCGTCTTAACGCGAACCAAAGTTTACGATATACTAATAATGATACGGACGGTATAACGTCCACTGCCGTGTCTCACGACGGCGACGACGTCAAGCCAGTATACGACGATGACGACGACGACGATGACGACGACGACGACGACGACGATGACGACACGAGTGAGAACGATGATGATCGCTCGTATCTGACGAAAGATTTATTTCTCGAAATCAATGGTGATGCGGCGCGATGCGGTGCCAACTTGGACAATACGAAAACGTAGCGTATCGCTCAGTGCATCCGACGTGGTGATGCGACGACGATCGTGGAACTAGACTTGCAACTTGTTGAGATACAGATTTACAGAGATAATAATTTATCATAGCAATCCTATTGGTTTAACGGCTTACGCTATAGTGTGTATAGACTGAGTCGCGATTGAGTATACAATGACGGATGATGGAATTTTTGGGAAAAGCAAACGAAATTGTAATACTTCATTTACATGATAAAAAAGTTTTAATCGTTTCTATGATGTCTCCAAGGGAAACATTTCCCTTGTAATTTTCTCCTCGTCTCATCTAGCACTTTAAGAAAGATACAAAACGATTAGTAACGTTAATAACGAGTAATAAAGGCAACACAGTCTTGGTCTATACATCCGCATATCGGTCACCGAACGATGGTTGTGCTTTTAACACTGTATTTGTTACGAAAGAAGCTGCTGCTGCTGCTGTTGCTGCTGCGGCGCTTGGAACTCGGTATAACGAATCTCGAAGTTACAACTGTTTGCCGTAAATTCTAATTTTTTTTAATACACAGCAGTTTTATTCGTTTTATCTTATCGACAGAATATCATTTCGTAAAAAAAGAAAACGAAAGAAAAACAGATTTACAAGAATTCGTCGAGAACTCGCACCGAAATCCGAGCGTTGCTTCGCGTGAATGGTCTATCCTGTACAAAGTTAGATAGGGACAAGGTACGTGATGTATTTTTGAACCCGCGCACGACGGCCTCGACATTTGGTACATTTGTAAATTCATTACTACGCGCGCGATGTCCATAGTTTCTTCATTATTTATTAGGAGATGCATGATAAATGCATATACTTTCATTGAATGAAAACGTGCGTGAATCGGCGCTGATTGTGAAAACGATCAGAGATTGATAGTAGATGATGTATGTCTGTGTGTGTGTGTGTGTGTGTGTGTGTGTGTGTGTGCGCGCGTTATTGTATGTATATAGTATCTCAATGTACGTACAGCACTTATTGTGATTACAATTATGTGAATCCCGGTGTAACAATTGCGTTAAATGTTTTAGAGATGCTCGCGTAAAATTAATTTTTGATTATCCAACTTTCGTAAATAAAATAATATGTAGACAAAACAAAACAAATTCCTCTAGCATTAGATTATATGGCATTGCACATATTTTTACGTATTTTTCTTCATAAAAAAAATGTGAATATTGAATGGCGGATCTTCAAATTACGTTGTACACGAATGGTACGTTCGGAATGCTATCAGAACTATTGCATTATCATACTTGTTTCACGTCTAATGAAAATGATAAAGCTAGAATGACAATAATGATGACAGCTCCCCGAACGCTTATATCTGAAGTGACTTGTATTCATAATACTTGAGGTTTTTTTTTTAAATAGATCGAGCATCTTCTGTATCATAATTTGGAGCGTTTTTTTAAGGATTTTTCGTGGAAAAAAAATGTTTTAAAGATTACATTTATGTGCTTTATTGTAGTTATATCGATAAGTACAATGAAGACGCATATAAAGTTTTATGCTCCTACACATTTAGAATAAACAGAAAGTTTATATTACATGATGTTTATTAAGTTCCTGATTTAATCCCCGATTCCAAACCTAATGTTGGGACTTCTTTGCGAATATCTTTGCGTATACAGATGCACATACATATTATCGATAGTCGCGTGAATCTTTTTTATTCACAGACTCCTTTGAATTTAGAAATTAATTCCAGTTGTGTTTGAAATTTAATACTTTCCATTTAACAAATATTAGTAATAGAAAAATTTTAGTAAATAGATATGCACGTGATTAAAAAAAATTCCTTCCCAAGCAAAACGCGATGCTTTCAATCATTAATGTGTGCAATGTATGTATGTATACATACTCGGTCCTTTACCTTCTTTTTTTTTTTCACGGAAGATAATCGAAACACCGTCATCTTCGAGAGGAAGTGAGATAGTATCGCCTTGGGAATGTCTTCCCGAAGAGATCTGTGTTGGAAAGGGGGAACGCTGGTATATATACATTCCATGGGAATTTACCCACGATTAACGCTTGTACTTTGCGCGTGGAAAGTATGGTCGTCTTTATTCACAATTATAAAAACGAATTAATAGTAATTATACTCTTGCGCGAGGCGTTCATTTCGAAATTATATTCTGTAGACTATAGAGCAAGGCAAATTTGGAGAAACTTTTTGTTCTACGGATACATCGCGTTATTTTCCACCGTATCTTTGCGAGAATTCGTAGTTTCTCAAAATTTGACTTATGCCATATGTACTTAAAATAATAAATTCACTGGACGGATAATATATTTCAAGCATTCGCCATTGGAATGATCGGCAGTAGATTCGCAAAACTATTGCGAATGCGCGTTTTCTTTTCCTTAAATACGAATTAAGCATAGCCGCTATTATGCCCGTGTCACGCACATACGTAGAGTGCGTCGATAATTGCTTGGAGAGATAATAAAATACGAATTTTCAGTTACAGAATCTATCAATGATATTTACGATACAATAAAGGGAATAATTATATTTTATACAAAGCGATGAAAAATTCCTAATCATAAGTAAATCATGTACAAATCTATCAGCTACAACTTGTGTACATATATAAATTGTTATTTCTCTTGTATAGATTATTATGAATTATAAATTAACAGGTAGATATGGAAATAATATCAATACTATCTATATCTATATTTTATTTTATACATATATATATATATATATATATATATGTATATATGTATAAATTCTAGTATGAATATAATTCTAAAGTTATCTCCACAAAAATTTCACATCGTGTACAATATAAAATAAATGAACAATATGATAGACAAATGCATTAAGTACATAAAATGGGAATTTAAGTTACGTTTCATCAATCAGATAGAAATAAATCCATCGAATGATGAAACGATACTGTCAACAGAATTCGTCAATAATATATTTAAATTAATACGCAATTGTATGCTCGAGAACAATGAAATTAGGAAATTCGTGTGCAATTTTAACGCATTTTTTTTCAGCACCTTGTAAGATATATTTGCGCATTCAGTCGCGCTATGGAATGTATATTTCAATTGTACATACGTTATTTTTGTTGTTATTTGATTCGTATCGTGCGTTGCTTGTTCATGTTCGTGAGCATTAATGAAATGTAAGACGTCAAGAGATCGTCCATCTTGTAACCCAATGAAGTTTCGCATAAAAGTTTCGAGCCGCGCACAAGGTTCCCTATCGTCATATGGAAGTAGGTATTGCCAGACGACCAATTGGAGATTCTTGTAAAGGGATGAGTGATGAGTATGTCCTGTACATATAAATAAATTGTAGATTATTGTTAGATTATTGATAGCTTCCATCATGCGTAAAATATACGTTGAAATTAAAAAATTAATAATATTTATAACTCTCTATATGTACATTTATAATATTTATTTGTAACTCTACATTTCTTAGTGAAAGAAAATAACGCATCTTGATTACCTTTGATTGAGGATGTATGAGGCTCACGCCGTGTTTGTTGATGGCGATTAATAACAATTCGGGATAATTTGGTTCCGTGCTCTGTTTCACTTCGAAGAACGCAGAGCCGAACGTCGGCCATCGATATACGATTTTCAGAAATGTAATTTTCGCATCTTCTGGACTCATACCTGGGATTTCGATTACAGTGTCTCAATTTTTGTTTTTTTCATGCATGCGAACCTTCATCGTTTGCGCTTTTTACTTACCAGCATCTTGATTATAGGCAGCGATTATCGATCTCTTCCAATCGTTAGCACTCTGTATCTTGATTAAATCACCTGGTATCAGTTCTCTTAGCATTTGTCTGAAATCGAAAGAGAGTTCTCTTGTTATTTATTAATGTCTGTCCTTTGCAAAACTGTAAATAATGTATCGAGAAATACTTACGGAATCGCTTGTAATTCTTGTTTGCTCTCGCCGAATCGTACTCTATATACCAAGGCCGCTAATCTTGATGCTTCTTCTTTTGTACATTTGTGATAGCCTATATTTCAATAGGGGCAATGATATAATACGATGCACCATTTATTATTATGTACAACGCGTGTATTGCCAGAATTAATAATTTCATGACCATTACTTACCTCTCAATAATTTGGGAAGTTCTTGATGAAAATGGAAAATCAAATCGGCATTTCTATCTTTACCAGGAACTGTATTTGTCCAAAGCTTCTTCATGAAGAAGACTTGATATGTAAACTGTGGTGACACTCCTAGATAATATACATAATGCTAATATAAAAATGTTTAATGTAAAAATATGCGTCCAAACATATATGAATATCATATATGAATAGAAATTTTAACAATTAAAGCTCCTATTTCCTCGCTTCAAATTGTATCTATTACTACGTTTGAATTGTGACGTGTCAAGAGCGGAGAGGAGGGACGAGCTATCGAGTAATTTCGATTTTTTATAAATTTGAAATGATTTGGAACGAATTTTTGTATGATTTCATGCTTAACTATGTGATTTGAATTTGATTTCTTAAGATTTGATGTTGAAATTATTTCAACTGAATTCCGATTTAATTTGATTGTGATGGATTTTTTTTCGTGAGTAAGTAATAACTTCTCGGTCAAGAGAACGATGTTACCTGATATTGTCCTGATATTGTATTATAAAAATTAATTCTTTTATGCCACTGTGCAATACAGATGACATAAAAATATCGAAATGTTTAGTTTTATTCTTCAACTTTAACAAATGCACATAG